GCTTTAGGGGGTCAATTCTGTATCTTACAATATAGTGAAAATGCTAAAAGTGAGCGGCTTTGTATCTTTTTCAAGGGACGGTTAGGAAGAGACAAAGCTGTTCACTTTTAACATTTTCACTACGGTGTAAGATACAGAATTGACTCTTTGATTCATACAATACGGCCGGTTTTAGCGAGAATCGTTGCGATATTGTTTTCCATCGAATCGATTTATCCGAGGACGATCGAATTGAGGGAGACAAAGAAAGAGAAAGGAAGAGGGTGATTTCTCACGGCGTCTATATCTAACGTGCGTACGAATTCATCGAGTCGGCCCATTTCCAGCGCGGTGGGTCCAGCCGATCGGGGCACAATGACTTATAAAGCGTCTTCGAGTGAAACTCATCTGCTCGTCCGCCAGGCAACAATGATGCGATACAATGATACACCTCTTCCCCGAGCAACTCCTCCTTTTTGTCTACATCTCTTTGCCGGCGCCGAATGCACGCGGAGAATCGAGCGGTGCGCGATGATATGCGCTCGTACTAATGAGGATAACAAAGCGAAATGCCGATTTACCAGAAACGATGTTCTCAACTTGAAATATACAGATCAATTAGCTGCCCGGCAATTGTCACTCGCAATAATTAACGATCAATTAATATCAATTAATAACAGACAACAATTCTAACATTGGTATCCAAAAGTATATGCAATGATACTTCAAAATTCTAACTTGCCGAACTCTCATTTATTTTTTATAGATATCTTTTCAATATTCTCCTAGTCATTTTCACGAAAAAACATTTGAATTAACGACATAGGAAGTGTTGACTAAAAGTCCTGTTTCTGATTTAATGCTATACGTATGATAGGTTTAATCGTTTCTCTATGTGAACAGTTGAATGTTCAAATAGGAAAGGATCGGAAGTTATGTAATAATATAAATTTTTCACGAATTTACGAAGTGATAAATTATTTTCTTTCCTTTCGGACATTAAGGCCGAGATACGTCGGGAATAACATCATGGATGATAACATCGCCCGTACGCGGCAAATAAAGTGACAATCTATTATTTACGGCACCGTACATCTTTGGTTACTGCCCCAGAAGCGACAACACACTTCTGTGTTCAGATAAGAATTTATTGTTACACCTTGGTCCCTGCAGCTACATATCTTCTACCGTGGAAGCAACACACTTGGGACGCAATAAAGCGAGCCATAAATTCCTCTATGGATTACCCCTTTATATCGATGTTCTTCGCTACGAAACGTAGCTGAGAACATCGAAAACGTAAGTGTCCTTTTTGAAAGCAATGCGTAAATTACCTTCATCTCTCGCGTTTCAATTGTTAAACGAGCTTCAGACATCTATCAAAGATAATGTAAAACATACATTCTCATTTCTTCTTCTTTTGTTAAAAATTCACGTCGAGCAAGTTCTTTAACAAGCAAATAGCAATATGTGTGTATAACACATAAGTAAATATTGACAATTTTGATCATTGGGCGGGCTCTTACGCCCAAAAAATTTTATAGATTTTATACATTTTATCTTTTGAATTACGCGCCAACAATTCTTGTCTAACATTCAACAGTTCTTTCTCCATTAACGTCTCTCTGAAATTAAATAAAAATGCAGTGGAGAACGTTAAATTGTCAACATTCTTGTAAAGCGTTATCTGTCTCTCTAGGCGGGAAAGGCCGATTTGAAGCTTTGTGTCCTTGATGCAGGTAAATTCGTTGGAACAGTCCATGGGTGGCTTGCGTAATTCAGAACCCCGTCTATTACCTGGCGACCGCAATTTTTTGTCACGTGGTGATTTTGTCGCCTACCGAAAGAGCGCCGTGTCTCACTCCGCTTCTTCGAGCGACTGTCGGCGCGAGTCCGTGTTAAAAGGTCCGGGTCCTCCGTACGTTCCCTCGGTGCCAAGTCACGCCTCCTGTGGCGCTTGTTGTCATTGTCAGTACCCGCAATCACGCAATGATCAACGCGTACCTACGCGAACGGACGGGGGATCGGCGATCCTCACCGAATCGATCCTTTTTGATGAACCCACCGGGCGGGATATATCAAAGGCCTCGAAAGTGTACCGCCGCCGCGATTCCGTCCGTGACGGCGACGCGATGATCGAATCATCACGCGCCGGGACGCGCCAAGCGTGACTTCCTGTCGAAATCGTATTTCACGAAATCGAAATAATTGCCGGGAACGGGAGGACATTCGATCGGCGCGGTTCACTTTGAAGAAATCGATCGATTTACTCGCCTATTCTCGACGACGATATCGACAAGCTGACATGGGAGACGACGCCCGCGATCTTCCGCACTCTTTTTGTACGTACATTTTCGATTTACGTCTCAATCTGATGAAGATCGCGATGTCCCTTTAAGTTATTTCGACACATTTCTTACATGTTACTTGTCGTTCCTGAAAACGATATATTTTTCAAATACAATGGATATAATAGCAATACAGCGGATATAATAATGAATCTTTTTTAGAAGAAAATCTAGTTATCTTCTTTCACACGTTTGTACTCGACTCGGGACTGTTGTATTAACTCACGAGAGAGACGGTTGAGAGAATCAACGTGCGCTTTACGTTAAACACACAATTCATATTTGTCTTTCCTAATATCCATTTATATTCTCCGATAGATCGAAGATAAGAATAAGCCGAAGTATTGGGTATGGAAAGGTAGTTTAAGAAGACAGGCAATCACTGTTTACGAAGAAAGATGTCTCTTTTTTTTTTCAACGCACTTATAGTCGGTTTACTCCACGGATTAACTATTTCTTACAGCAACAATGTATAATGGTATGCGCTGACGTAATTTTACTTGACAAAGGAGCTGAACGGTACAAATGAGAATGCGAAAACGAGAGATCGCGACCCGCGGGTAACCTCCCGGGGACGGCGTCGTTAGTTTCTTCATCCTCGACGATACTCGGCGTACGGGTGAAGGAGCCGGAGACTGTAAAAGTCGATTGTCGAGTTCCCGCCCAGCGGCGCCTCGGCCAATCGGAAGCGCATGCCGTTCCCGGCTGGCTCCTTTTTTTTACTCTTTATCGGTCGTTACACCGAGTAGTTTTCTTGTCTCAACGCCATCTTAGCCGGCCGGACATTATTGTCCGGCCTCATTGATTATTCCCCAGGTTCTGAGACGCGAACCGATCGAATCGTCATCCTCGTTCTCATGTCTCGTGATTTCGGGTGACTCTTCGCTTCGCGGCTCTGTCTCGGACCATCTGCGTTATGAAACAAACGGACGGAACCGAGCGGTTTCCGATTACAGAAAAATGTGTTCTCCTCCCGAGTGGTTTTCACATTTAAAAATGCAGCTCGAACCATTCTCTTCATCCGGTCCGAGATACGCGAGTAATAATACCGATGCAATAAAAGCGACATTAAAAAGAAATGACGATGTTCAATTATCGACTTATCGCACTACAATTTAAATACTCGACTCATTAACCAAATTATCCTTGATTATACGGATTATACGGGTACGAGTTTCCACCGCATATCACGTTTTTAATTAAGGCTGCACGGCAACCTGAAAATTAAATAGCCATTATTACAAGTTAAAAATAACGTTCCCGACGTGATCACATAAACTCCGAAATTCATGCAATCACGTCCACCTTTTTCGCGGTTGTCTCTTTGGACTTAGTTCGCTAAACCCCGATGAAAGTTTTATAATTCACTTGATATATTTGACGTCCTCTCGACTGTAATTTGTTTATCTTATTGTAAGAAATATTGCGAAAGATTACACTGGCACAGGCAACACTGCAGTAGAGAAAATACGATTTTAATTTGTTTAATGTCTCTATCGCGGTAATTTAGTTTTAATTTTAATGTCAGCGGAGCGCGTCTGTTGATTAGTTTCCAAGAGGCCACGCGGTTCTAAATTATCGCTGGTCTCATTCCGACTCGGTCATTATCCGTTCCAGGCTCGCTTATCTCGATTTACACGTTTATCATTTCTCGATTCAGTAAGGGGGCTCCGTTTAAAAATACTTATCCGTTTGATCTATCCGGAGCGAGTACTTGGTGATTCCAGAAGACCGTTTTCAGGCGTTTCCCCCCGAGGAAATGGGCTCCGACCTTTTTGTTTCTCGAATAAAGAAAAACCGAATACAGAATCTACTACTGACGCGTGCACCTCCTCGAACATACGCGCGTCCCGCAACGGACCTACTTGGCTCTTCTATTCTCTCGCTCGGCAACGGATCGGGCCCCGCGGCGCGCACTTACATCGTGAGAAAGATCTCCGCCGTGGCCTGTAATTTGCACTTCCGTTCTCATACGAGGTCATACAATGCGCCGAAGACGACGACGGCCGCGGGACGCGCGGCCGTGCGGAAAGGCGGGCCGGAAGCGGGGCGCCCCCCAGCGAACTGCCCGTCGCTCTCATCAGGTGTTCTGAATTCGACTTTAGGGCACCGCGACATCGCTGAGGGGGTAACTCGATGCCGGGCGCAGGTGCCCGCGTTTGTTCCACGCTGGAACAATCGCGTGCGCGCCGAAGGAAGTCCCTAAACGTCGCGAAATGGGGTCGAGAGGCGACTTTAGTCGGGAGGGGAACGCCCGGTCTCCTTTTCTCTCGAGTCGAAAACGATTTCTCGCACCTCAACGAGAGAGCGAATCTCAACGACTGTTTTGGTCTCTCCAACGTACTTCGTCGCACGTGCTCCGCATTGTGCCCTCTCCTTTGTACCGGATTACTTATTGCGAAGCCCGGGACGAGCTGAATGATTTTCTCATCTAACGAGATTTCAGGCTGTCAATATCACGACCGAACGTTGAATAATCGACGTTCCGTTGTTATTGAAGAATACTCTGAAATTCAAATCAGACGTTTTAAAGCTCACACAATTTTGATTATTATTTCTAAATTGTTATAAATATATTTTTGTTTCTCCGCAGTCATTTTTTAACGTAAAGCTCGGTCATTTACACATAGTGTTTGGAGTTTTCAAATAGTGGACCACAATCTTCTTTTACAGATGCCACTCTCGAAGCTCCTGGTACTCGAAGAATTTCGTTCCTGGCTTTTGAATCACCCGCGCGCCTTTTCTCGCATACCGTTGGCCGAAGAAGCCCCTGTGCAGAAGGTGGGTATATTAAATTCCACGATATACTTGTCAAGGCGTGGTGCTGCTTCGGGGGGCCACCGTGCTGAAAACCCTTCGGCGACACACCATCGCCACACATCACGAGACACCGACTCGCCCTTCGCCTGTTTGCGTAACCTTCTCTCTTTCTCATTCTCGACTTCGCAGGGTGCAAAATCAACTACGAGGCCACGCAGCGCCTAATAACGGCGCATTAGCTTCGTCATCCATGATCTCAAAGCGATCTGTTTTAAAAGGCCCGCCAGGGACGTCGTTCTCGCGTCGAGTCTCACAACATTTCGCGAACGTTTTAATTAATTATTATATGGTTTCGCTGTGCGATATAAAGAAAGATGACGAATTGTGAGTCAAACTAAGAAGTGCAAACGTACGCACACGCATATTTCGAATCTTGATAAAATTTGATAAAGATCTTGCTTAGCTGACGTAGCCCCACCTACGATTAGATGCGCGAACGCGACTTATTAATTATATGAATCACATATATCAAAATAACTTTAAATTAGCATTATGTGCTTTTTAAGGAAATAATTGCGAGATCTAGTGATAAGTTATCGTCGCCAAATTATTATATCTATCTCACGCATGCATTATTTGTTTTGTATCCATGGCCTATTCTTTTTAGCTAAACCCTCTGGCTTATCCTAGTAGCACAGTGCATTGGTTAAACATTGGTCCAACACAATCAAATATTGAACCAATGTTTAACCAATGTTTGGTCATGCACTGTGCTACTAGGGTATCTTATCACTTTTCCTTCCTAATATGGAAAGAAAAATAGAAAAGATGAATCGTGTAAGAAGTTTAGCTAAAAAGAAAATAGACCCATAGTCTTAATGTTCGATCTTTATACTGTTTAGATAATACATATGTGAGATAATATTTGTGTTTATATTGGAGTAATGCGTCGTGCGATCCGCAGAGAATTTGAACGACAGGCATGAAACGGAAACTGCAGCAGTATATGCGAAACTACGATGACAAGGATGAAAATTGATTTGTCGTAGGGTCGGCGTTGTATACAATCCAATGATTTCAATCTGGATCCTATGGGAGATCGTAAACATGTGAACCAAGCATGCGATCCCTCGTGACTCGAATTTCATGGACCAGCGTCAAAACGTAGTTTTATGTGTTAAAGGCCGTTCGGTCTCGCAAGAGGCCGGAAAAGGACGACAAATCGTTCCGTTTATTTTTGTGAATCGATTCCACGGAGAATTACTACAAATTGCGACGATTGTTAGACGCTATGGGAGTTCATTGTTGAATATGTTTTAGCGGCGGTATAGTGCATCCTGTCTCCCGTAGCGTCCAACGAGCGATGGACCGATTTTTGTCAACCTTCGCTGACAGTATGGCTACCGTTCGGTCTCTACCGCGATAAAGAATGCATAGAGGTGCACCCCGTTCGGCGCAGAATCCCGCAACAGGTTGCGGAGCATCGACGCCGCGCGCTATCCTAGATGATTTATGAATCCACCGGGGGATGCAAATTTTCTTCTTTTACACCTACTTTTCTCCGCGCATCGCGACAGATAGTGTTAGAATAGCAACTGAGGGGGGATTTGCGACCACGGAGTAAATTATTATGCGAACGTGCGAGATTGTCGAGCTTTGGTAGAAGCTGAAGAATTTTTACTCCAGAAGTTGGTAGAAAATTGAAAAATTGTGAAATCTATCAACTGTTAGGTTTATATTGCTAATCATGTACTGATATTATCGCGACGTTTTCACATTACATCTACATTTATCTCTGGAGACAAATTTCTTCCGTTCAAGTAAAATTAAGTTAATATTGGGTCATTCCATAATGCGGGTTTTTTGAGATATTTATTAGAATTTATTAGAGTTTCGGTTTTGAGTTAATAATATAAAAAATAAATACAAATTAATCGCGTTTCCTTTTACATGCATTGTTGGATGACCTAATAGAATAGATGAACCATAGTAATTTAAATAGATATACGAAAGTTTCATACGAATTTCAACATCAAATCTTAAATTATGCTTCATTCTTCAAGTTCCAAGATGCGTTTGAATTCGAATGCTTGAATCTATTAAATCTGGTTCGAAGTTTAAAATGGAACAAATAAAGTTTTATTTTCTATTTGCAAAGTGGATTTTTGCTCGAGCCTTCGTTTAATTCAATTGAATCGATCGAAAGAAGATCGACAATTAGATTCATTTAAACTGTCCGAACTTGATGAAGCTCAAATATTTCTGCTTTGAATTATTCGAACAACTCGATCGCGATTCTTTAAATCTTTCATCTAAACTTTCAAATATCTTTAATTCTCATCTTGAACCTTAAATGTATTCAATTGTTGAACATCAGATTTGCCTTTGTCGAAAATGCTTCTTTGTAATGAAGCAATAAAATAAAATTGTATTGTCAACTGATATTATGGTGTAAGAAAACGTGTATACTTTTTTAAACAGATATGGCATTATTGATGTGAACGCATAAATTGTTATTAATAAATATGTGGCAAATATATTTACATAATCGCATGATGTATTATATTTTTCGTTTCCTCCTTTTAAAATTGTCGAACAGAAATTGACTTCATATCATCTTATATAATAGGCGGTAAAAGCATCGTATTGGAGTAAGATGAGGATCTTTTTGAGCACGTGGGAATTTATATAATTAAGTTGTATGTACATAAATATTTTAAAATACACGAGCCACGAGCATATTAGTGGCCCTTCTTACATGCGCATTCGTGGCGATAGTCCTGAAAATATCGGACATAAGCCGAGGCGGAGGACTCACGAAAGGCGACAGGTCCGATGTACAGGGGAACAATAAAAGTAAAAATCGGTAAGATATGTGAGTAATAAAAGTGGACAATGGTGAGGCAAATTAATATTAAGGTGAGCCTGGATACCGGAGGGCTGCATCGGGGCTGAGGAAAGACCCTAGCGTAGTCCTGGACGCGAGAGGGGACCTGTCTCGATCGAAGGTAGGTGGGAAGGGAGCTGAGGATCGAGTAGGGACAGTAATTTATCAACCGTAGATAGGAATCTCCACGGTCGCGTGTACGGAATCGGCAAAATATTGTCCGTTCTCTTAGGTCCTGGCTATTGCCGATCGCACGATCGAGGCAATCTCTCATGCCGAGAAGATCGATTCTGCGTTATTCTGGTGTTCGACGAGGAAAATTATCGGCCGACGCGACTTAGGTAAATTCGTATTTGCGATCGAGAAGCCGCGCGCGCGCTTCGTCGCGGAACCCGGGACCGGTATGGACAACTGTTTTGCCAGAGGCGACGCGCCAGCCGAAAATGCCAGACATACCAGCGGGCGCGCGCCCGGCCGCCTGCTTCTCGTAGAGAGAAGTAATGGGAGACGAGGGGAAATAAAGGATCGTCCGTTCAAAGAGTTGGAACTCAATGAACGAATCGGGGATGGTGCGCATTTCGGCCCTTTCGTGCTGCACAAAGCAAGTCCGTCTACCCGCGGACGTACGAACGAGATCGACATATACGCTTTGCTTTTCTTCTTCGGTGTACTGTCTGTGAACGCAGTTATGCGAACGCGATAGCTTTAGGAGTCAATTCTGGCAACGCGTCACAATCGGCGAGCGACGATGGTTACATTCGTTTATAATATTACAGCATATTCAGCTGAACATTTCGTACGCGCAGTAGCGTTAAATAAATCGGTAGATCGCGCGCTGGTACCTCAGAGTTCATCGAGCGGTTTGGTAATGCGCTGCGACTGGTTCACTAGGGTGAGTCTGGCATAAAGGACAATGTAACAACCCACTGGTAATAAGTAGCAATTTGGTAGGCAAATCTTTAAGCATCCCGCACGAGCGTTCTTTATAAACCCGTGCAAAGCACGTATTTCCATCCACTCTTTTTGTATGCGCGCGCTAAATATTCAGTGGGATTTTTTGTGATTCTATGAAGTACGAATTACGAATATTATCATTTGAGCTATAGTATAAGCGCTGTGCGTGGCTAACAAATCACAAACGTACAAGTTAAAAACTTTTAAATTTCTGAATTGATTTGAATTAGTTTCGCCTTCATAAAGGTATGATCGATATTCTTCTTAGGTTATAACTTGCATACGTTATAGGTTTCGCAATCGATTCCGCGTAAAAAACCAATTGTTAGAATTCTTACTAGATGATATTAATCATAAAATTGGACTTATCATTACACATTTTATATTTTTTTGAACGTTAAAGCCATGTACGACGAAATGTTATGATGTTGTAGGAATGTGCGTACTAAAACACTATCAAAAGCAACCTTTCATCTAATCTGGAAGAACATTCTAACTTTTAATGTTTATAACTTTATTGACATAAATTTATTTTTCGAAAACGTTTTTTTATGGCTGCAAAGATAGAGAGAGTTTATGTTAGTTTTAAAGATAATTGTGTGTAATATAATATATCTAAGTCATATTCTACGTATCAATAGCTTCGTGTACATATATAATCTTTATCTTATTAGTTCTTTAACATTGCACATTTTTTACATTAGATAAGAACTTTGATAACTTTTTATATACGAATACATGAAATACAATAAAGAATTTAAGTATCTCATAGGAAAACTTTGAAAATTATATTGCATCTTAGGGCTATATAAGCGCTCTACGTCGCTGACAAATCACAAACTTACAAATTAACATAGATTGAGTGTTGAAGAATATTACAAAATGCGTTTCTCACATATAACATTAACTTTTGCCATGATCTTTGTTATGGCGATCATGTATACCGGAACAGAAGCAACAGCAGAACCATTAGCCGACGCTTTGCCAGTGAGTGATGCAAATGCCGAAGCCTTCGATATTGCTGGTTTGGTAAGCATTAATCGTTCCACTTTATTCAAGTTTATTCTGCAGTAAGATATTTTTTAATATATAATCAGATAACATCTTTTTCAGATTAAAACCCTAGCAGGAAAAGTAAAGGATGCTTTGGTAAGTATACTAACATAAATGAGACTTTTCATCGATATATTAATATTAATAAACACGTTTTATGTTTCAGGGAAAGAAGTAGCTGCATCTTTCGTGAAATAAAATACAAGTGAACAGCTGTTAAACCTGAAGAAAGATTATGATAGAAATGACGAATTACAAGGGATATATATTATAAATATCATATATATATCATTTTAAGCGAAAGTATAAATTATATTTATATGACTCTATTGTACTTGCTTGTTTCAAAATTATGGAGAAAAAATAAATAATAGGATTGCATCATTCGTATTGTGTTTCATTTAGAAGTTACATTTTATTCTTATTCCAGTTTATCGTTTTATACTTAGAATGTATATATTAAATTTGTACTTATCAAGTAAATTATTAAGTTAAATTTTAAAAATCGATTATGCTTGTAATTTATAATATTTATCGTCAACGGTTCAAAAACACATTATTTTAATTTTATTTATAATAATAGTTAATCCTAGGACTTTGAAAAATAAGGATAAAAATTCTGCCGATATAAATTTATTGTAATAGTTTAAGCTCAATAAAAAATATGATAAACAATGATAATAATTAAGTCAGATAAACTTAATTTATTGATGGATTTAATAATGAAATAAAATCTAAAAATAAAAGTAATAAATCTGGTTAGATAAAACGTTAAACTCTCCCGACAGTTCGTAAAGAATTGAACAAAAACTACTACGCTAAATGTCTATTTCCGCTGACTTTCGCAACGAATTGATATTTCAGCGTTTTTAGCATCATCTGCCTCGTTTTTTAATGAAAAGATTTAATCCTTTCTTTTTCGCTCCTTTTCATCGAAACGATCTGCTTCTAGACCGATAACACCTAGCCGGGACTCACGAAACGGGTCCGCACGATTGTGAACGTGTAATTCATTTACTTTGGTCGCGCACAACAAATTATGCGTGTCAACACACGCATTTGGATGCTTCGGCGGGATGGCGGGCCTCCTCCTGGTGAGAGACGTCTCGGTGGAGAGCACGATGCACACACACACGAGAGAAATATAGCGGTAGTGGTGGACCGGCGGGGGCGATGGAGTCGTTTCGATCGCATAAATCTCGCGTGTTCGGCTGCGTGGCGCGTCGTGACGGGTTCTAACGATATATTCTGATATAATTAAAACAATAAATAAGATGGCGTCCCACCGCGAGCACCAGGGGTCGATCTCTAGTTCGGTACCTCCGGCTTTACCCTCAGCTCCCCGCGTCCGGGTCGCCTCTTTTCCTCCTCGCGTGCCTTCGAAAATTACGTTCGCGTACGCGACTCGCGCACGCTGTTCCCTGGCCTCTTTTTTCTAAGGGTAATCGGACACGAGTTAAACGTATATCATGCGACCAAGTGAACTTTTTAGGCTCCTCGGTTTAGGATCGTCTTGGCGGCAAGACGTAATCTGAGCCACGTTGCTAACCACCCGGTGTCGTTTGCTAAAAGAGCGAATAATTGTATCGAATTGTCATGTAATTACTAAATACCTGTCACAGATATCTCATCGGTAATCATGATCTTCTAACGATAGAGATTCATTCGATCCGTATCCGATCGTGTGATTATCGTTTTCCATGTCGCTCATCGTTCATCAGCGGTCGACCCGAGATCGTTTCTTCGGGCTTGCTATGAGGATAATTTACGAACGCATACCTGCGCGATCGCGAGCTCGCGAGCCACGAAGAAGCGTGACCGAGGGCGTGGCGAGGCTTAATTACTGCTTAAACGGGAGTCCTCTCCGCCTACCAAAGTATAAACTATCATAATCTTGCGGTGCCCCTTCGACCTCGACCCATTATCTACCGGGATGTTATAGTTGCGGGGGCTAGCCGTGCCGAGAAGCAGGTTAGCGGATGGCCACTGGTAAATTACACGTTAGTTTTAGCCCCCCTCTTCCCGTATCTGTGCCGACTGAACCGTAATTTATCCCTTCCTTTCCCTTTGTTGGGCGGATCGATGTTTATCTTTACACTTTGCAATCATAATTTTGCGAACGCATTAAAGAAGATAAACGCGAAGTAAACATACATCTTGAGCCGAATCGTTGCATGCAAAAAATTTAAGTAAGTTTTTATGATGCACCATGAAAGGCTCGTTAACCTTAATTTCAGCTATGAAACTACCTTAATTTCTCATCTAAGCTAATTTTTTCTCGTTCGAAGTAATGATTCATTCAATCTCTTTTTTTCTGATGGAAAGATTTCGCCTCGCTTCATCTAGCCTCATTGTTTTTTTCATCCCAGTTTTCCACTTCTCACGCCCGTCAATGAATTCAAGACCAATCAAAGATCAGAAAAATTATTATACATTAAAGAAATCCCATGCATATAAAAATAGATATATATGTATAATATTGTATAAATTATATTAATATTAAAATAATAAATTTTCTCTTACATTTTTCTTAACAGGATATTGAAAGTTGATTCTTTTTATTTTATCAATCCTGGGGCTCTGCTCAAGAGATGGTACAAAATTGCTCAACGGCAGTTCCATTGTTACGCTTATGCGACAGTTGCCATTGTTGTAGACACGCATGATGCTGAATAATTCATAACCATCGTAGTTACACTCTTTCAATAATTTTTGTTTCCAAAACAGATAATTTTCCCTACCGAATTCATTGCCGATATGCGGGCTTCTTCTTCCCCCTTCCATAATGGAGACGCTACCCTTACGGATGATACGGGGAGAGTGAGCTCGAGTAAAGTGGTCGGGCCAATTGAGTGGTAATCGAGTACATCCCCTAGCAAACTTGATCATCGCGGATAACAGACTTATCTAGTCGCCAGTGAATTAGGGTATATTGTAAAAGAGTCGTTACCCTCATCATTAATAGCAATGGTCATCCGCGATATAAAGTTCCCTCTCACCCCCCATCATTAAACAAAACAAAATTGTTAATACACATACACACACACACACACACATATATATATATATATGTGTATGTGTATTACAAAAGTTAAGAAGCATATATATATATATATTCATAAATAATCTTTCTCAGGTTTCTGCACGAAGAGAATTTCTTTTGAAAATTTATCCTGAAAATATTGTAATCGTGGGACAACGCGGCATTTCAAAGAATTTTGTGAGAGTTTCTTGAAATTTTACCACACATTTTACTAGTAATTATACTTACTATATTGTTAGTATACATTTTACTAGTAAAATGTATGGTAAACTTTCAAAAACTCATAAAGTTTTTCAAAATGCCACGTTGTCCCACGATTTTCAGGGTAAATTTTAAGAGAAAATTCTCTCCGTGTATTGTATTTCAATTTACAATTCTTTTTAATTGAAAGAAATATTATTTGCAATAAGTTATTTGCAAGAAACAATTTGCATAAGGCAGTTATATAACAAGAAATTATAGGAAGAAATAAGAAAGATGTTTAAATTTTTTAGTTTTTATATTGATAATATGATAATAGCTTAGTTAATTAATAATAGTTTAACCAATTTTCATATTGATCTTTCTATAACAAGCCAGACGTTACTTGCGGTATGTTAATTGAATTTTTATAGAAGGGCGGAATTATGAAAGAATGAAAAGTACCTAATCTCTCTTAAGTAATGGTCGCCGGGCAAGGAAACTTTAATTATACAATAATTAAAAGCGCCAAGTTTTCCACCATCCGTTTCCGTCTATCTTTCCCCTCTTTCGTCTATTTCTTTCTTTTTCCTTGATTTCTGCTCGCTGCCTCGTGTAATATACAGCGAACGCGATAAATTAATAAAGCCTGCTCGGTTATCCACAGCGCCGCGTTGTTAATTTCGTGATGTACGTTCGCGCTGAGTTTGCGGAGCGATAATAACTTCGTAATTAAAGAAGAAAATACGACAACCAGCTCGAACCATTTTTTCTCGGAGCTGTCCAGCGACAAGGATGCATATTATCTCTTGATATTAAATTTGATACTAAATTTGAAAGGATTGGGGCAACACGCTAAATCACGTCGGGCATATTGTGGTTAAATTGTGAAGAAAGCGGCGAGAGCCACTGAGCAGATATATCTAGTATTCCTTTTTGCAATTCTTAAGTTTGTTAAATTCCTACGTAACGTCGTAAACACTCAATTCTTTCCGATCGTACGACGTAAAAGGAAGAAATAAACATAAAGAATATAAAGAAATATTTATCAGATTATATATTTGTCTGATTACTTTTCTAGGAAATATACCATAAACTATTCGAAGAAAGAAAATTTTCTTATGTAAACTGGTGTGTACTTCAGTTATGAAGAGTCTCGAGCCTTTTTTCCTACGAAATTTCCTACGAGCTTTTCGTGGTTTCCCTTTTTCTTCTCTTTCTTTAAGAGAGTTTCTACCTGAATCCGTGCATGTGCAGTCTAAAAGCGCTTGTTAGTTCATACAAATTTATTGACTAAAACTTTTGTTCTTATATTTATTTGGTTCTTTTTACTTCTTACGTATTAAATAACACATTTATTACCAAATACTTCATATAGTAAAAGACTGAGCAATTTTTACAATTTGATTTAGCACTCACTTATCTCAGGCTTTCAACATCATTTCTAACGTCGCATAAGCGAAAACTTCCGGTAGCGATAGATTTTCGGTCGCGAGTCGGAGATGTCACCAGCGAGACGTTACGAGAGAGAATCTCGAAGGTGAAGCGAGGGTGAAACGAGCCAGTGCACATGGATGCAAACAGAGATAGGACTAAACGCCCCGCCGCACACGCGTGATCTTAAGCTTAGCTTAAGACGGGATCACGCAGCGGGTGTTTAAATGCCGATGCAATCGCTGCACCCGATCCCCCTGGCTCCGATAGTCTCGTCACCGATATCTGGACTCTATTCTCCGTCCATTAGGACCAATAAAAATATATTATAATTTGTGCAGAGGATAAAAAAAAACGACGGGACGATTTAGAATTTTAGGATATCAAGCCAGAGAGCGGACCGGTCGACGATTCGAGATGATACGGCACGTAAATAGTTCGTGTTAGAGAACATTCTTCTCGGGAGTCGCATGTCATATTTATTCGATATCGGGAAACATGTTAGAGACGATAAGATATTTAGCTGGACCGAAGCGACGTCAAAGAGTACTCGAATCTCAACATTGTTGGTTTCTTGAGGATCCGCTCGTTACGCACCGAAGAAAACGAAACCGTCGGGTGTCGTAAAGTTCGTTAAGAGGTCGACGCGCGTCGGCCGTGATTATAAATTCAGGTTGAAACTTATAATCGTGTTTGTTTTAATTAGAACCGCAGCGTGCGCCTGGCTCATTTAAGACTTCGAGTTTGCACCAGCTCTCCCGTCCCTTTCCATCCCCGTATCGTCGTGGCGTTACCTCTCTTTTCCTCTCTCCTTCTCTCTCTTACTTGCACGACTCGCTCGCCTCTGTTAATTTCACGTGAAGCATTAGCGCGTTAATAAACGGTTATTTATTGGCGCGCTCCCGCGATCATTTATTCCTGCGTCTCGCTGCATTTTCCGAGCTCATAGCCTTTTCTACCTCTTAAATTAGGCATTGCTTCGCGTCGAGGAAACGTGCCGTTCAGACATAAATCTACGTGCGATCGTAGCGCGTAATGCTTAATAATTGTGTAGCCATGACGGAGCAACGTAAAATATTTTGTTATTACGAGAAAAGGTGAAATACAATATCAGATATTTTATGCCTGACGATAATAAATAAAGTACTTGAATTATGATATAGAATGATATAAAATATATTAGAAATCCTCAAAGTCAATTAATATTGAATATAGATGAGACTTAATAAATCGTTCTTTAAAGATTGATAATTCTAAAAATTTTTTTTAATTCTGAAAAAATATTTTCTAATTTTATAATTTAACCAACACTCATATATCTTTATAAAATGTAATTTGTTTATCACCGTGAAGATTTTTACGTTTTACCCTTGCTTAACGGCAAGCAACCGAGTATCACGCCATACTTCGCCGAGAACTATTTTGTTTAAGCTACTCTAAGGGGAGACCAGATTTTCCGCGGATAAATTTCAAATCGCTAACAAATCCGATCTTGCGCATCGTTCGCTCGGTAAAACATGCTTGTGCAAGGCTCAGCTTCGCATGAACGGAACTCTTTTACCCTCCTGCTAAACTAGCGCACCATAACGCCATAGGATACGAAGGCAAGATGGTGTATAATCATGTGCGGATTAGAACGATGACATTTTTGTTGAGTGACATTGAATGATATGGTACCCTAAGGCACCCACGTGTTCAATTTGCCATCTGGATTATTTTATTCTATAACTTGAACGTATTTACCAGCAATGCATAGAAAATGATCAAACATCACTGAAGACACGACGTTTTAAAAAATTAAAAGAGCGAGCATTTTTATGACATTTAAAAATATTCTGTGATAATGTTTAAGTGTAACATACATATTTTTGTTTATATGAAATAAACTTTAACTAAATAGATATAGACACATAATTAGAATATACATATGTATACTTTATATTAAAATTGTAACACTTGTTACTATAAAATAAATTGTTCTAAATACAAAATAAATTTGTTAACTACTCCGACGTAAATATAAATATTAAATGTATGTATTTTACTATCTGTGAATAAAGAAATCGTTTATCATGTTGATGAAATAAAATACTTTGAAAATATTGCTGAATATATTTTCAATGAAATAATAACATATGTATATCTCTAAATGAATGTTTCTTTGATTGTTGTATAAATTTTTACATTTTGCTGCATTTTTGTTATCATCATGGATGAGTTTACCGTGTGTTGTTTTAACATATCTACAGAGTGACTCAGACATACCGATAATTGGTCAGTACATATTAATAGATATCATAACAGCTGTAATTGCAGTTACAAAATTCTATAAAGATTATACATATGTATGTATGTATTCTAAGCCATATTCTATGTATCAATAGTTTCGTGTATACAGTGAGTTTTATTTCGTGAACCAGTCTTTTACCATGAAAGACGTATTACCGATCGAAACTGTAGCCAACTCTGGAAAAAATGGAAAAATTTCGTTATAAATGTTTCATTCGCATAGTATCTATTAAATTGCATCTTGAGAGATGTAATTAGATATTACATGTTTGAAACATACACAATAAGATTTTTCCATTTTTTGCCGGGTTAATTGATGGCTACAGTTTCGGTCGGTAATTCATCTCTCATGGTAAAAGACTGGTTTATCAAATAAAGCTCAATTCACCCTGTTTTATTATTTATTATACAGGGTGTCCTGAAATTCGTGAATCAAAATACCATAGCAAGAAAGTCGTCGAAAAAATAAATTAAAAAGTTATTTGCCATTTTTCGTTCCGAGCAGTAGTTTTTTTAGATAAAATTCAACCGTAATGTATGATTAGCCTGTTTTGAACCTTTTTATCTAAAAAAAACTACTCCTCAGAACGAAAAATGGCAAATAACTTTTTAATTTATTTTTTCGACGACTTTCTTGCTATGGTATTTTGATTCGCGAATTTCAGGACACTTTGTATATACAATATTGCAAATTTTTTGCATAAGATTAAAACATTTTGATAACTTTGTATATGTATATGAATACATGAAATACAATAAAGTATCTTCTAGAAAGACTTTGGAAATTGTATGGCATTTTAGGGCTATAGTATAAGCGCTGTGCGTGGCCAACAAATCACAAACGTACAAGTTAAAAACTTTTAAATTTCTGAATTGATTTGAATTAGTTTCTCCTTCATAAAGGTATGATCGATATTCTTCTTAGGTTATAACTTGCATTCGTTATAGGCTTCGCAATCGATTCCGCATAAAAAACCAATTGTTAGAATTCTTACTAGATGATATTAATCATAAAATTGGACTTATCATTACACATTTTATATTTTTTTGAACGTTAAAGCCATGTACGACGAAATGTTATGATGTAGGAATGTACTAAAACACTATCAAAAGCAAACTTTCATCTAATCTGGAAGAACATTCTAACTTTTAATGTTTATAACTTTATTGATATGAATTTATTTTTCGAAAACGGTTTTTTATGGGTGCAAAGATAGAGAGAGTTTATGTTAGTTTTAAAGATAATTGTGTGTAATATATCTAAGTCATATTCTACGTATCAATAGCTTCATGTACATAAGTATATAATCTTTATCTTATTAGTTCTTTAACATTGCACATTTTTTACATTAGATAAGAACTTTGATAACTTTGTATATACGAATACATGAAATACAATAAAGAATTTAAGTATCTCATAGGAAAACTTTGAAAATTATATTGCATCTTAGGGCTATATAAGCGCTCTGCGTCGCTGACAAATCACAAACTTACAAGTTAACATAGATTGAGTGTTGAAGACTATTACAAAATGCGATTCTCATATATAATATTAGCTTTTGCCATGATCTTTGTTATGGCGATTATGTATACCGGAACAGAAGCAAGAGCAGAACCATTAGCCGACGCTTTGCCAGTGAGTAATGCAAATGCCGAAGCCATTGCTGGTATAATAAGCATTAATCGGTCCATTTTATTCAAGTTTATTTTGCAGTAAGATATTTTTTAATATATAATCAGATAACATCTTTTTCAGGATAAGAAGCCACCAGTTACCCCCAAGCCACCAGTTACCCCCAGGCCAAAATTAAGGCCTGTTCCGGTAAGTATACTAACATAAATGAGACTTTTCATCGATATATTAATATTAATGAAAACGTTTTAAGTTTCATGGAAAGAAGTAGCTGCATCTTTTGTGAAATAAAATACAAGTGAACAGCTGTTAAACCTGAAGAAAGATTATGATAGAAATGACGAATTACAAGGGATATATATTATAAATATCATATATATGTATATCATTTTAAGCGAAAGTATAAATTATATTTATATGACTCTATTGTACTTGCTTGTTTCAAAATTATGGAGAAAAAATAAATAATAGGATTGCATCATTCGTATTGTGTTTTATTTAGAAGTTACATTTTATTCTTATTCCAGTTTATCGTTTTATACTTAGAATGTATATTAAATTTTTACTTATCAATATGTATACAGTAGTGGTAAATATAAATATTATAAAACAAAAAGGTCACACCTCACCGATTTCGTTGCTACTTTGTTAGTTATGTTGTAAAGGAGAGTTTTCTGAATAATTCCGCGCAAGAATTAAGTGGGGGACGGCATTGATTTAGAAGATATAACAAATTGAAAACTGAAATTTTTAATACGTTTTTTGATAAATAATTAGATGAGGCCAACCAACTGACCTCGATCTTGACATATGTTGTCAATATCACGCTCCGGAGTGTCCTTCAGAAAGTTTTAGTTGTCGTTCGTTTTTTATTAAAAAATTATTAAGAAAATTAATTTAATTTTGTTAATTAAGTTTTCAGCTCGCTTCGCGGGAGAGCGAGTTGTGAAAGGGCGAAGCCTTGCTAAAAACACACACACACACACGCAGGGGAGTGCAAGGCCTTCGGCCCGTCCTTCCTGCACCCTCCTCGCCGGTAGACAGCGTGGACCTCGCTTGCTTGTCTATCTGCAAGCGAGGTCCTATCACCCTGCCGGCGGGTTGGGTGCGGAAAGGGGGGCAGAAGGCCCCTTTGCACCCCCGGGTGGGCGCGTGTGTGGGTGTGTGCTCGTGCGTGTGTGTGCGTGTGTGCGTGTATGTGCGTGCACATACGTTTCTCATATTTATACAAGTATCCATGCGAGGTTCAACCCGTCCTGATTGGTGCAGAAGGGGGTGTGTGACTTTGTAAATGAAAACTAGTTTATGTTATGAGTTAAGAGGTAGCTACGTAGGCTTTTTGTCACAATCAAATTGACCGATACTTCACAGTTCGTTAGAAGGTTTCACGATGCAACTATATGTATTAAGGTACGATCGATATTCTTTTTATGCTCTTTAACTTGCAATTCGCTATAACCTTTGCAATCATTTTTCCGCAAAAAAAACAATTGTTAGAATTATCACTAGAAAATATTAATTGTAAAATTCTGGTCTTATCGTTAAACATTTTATATTTCTTTAAACGTTAAAGTCACGTACGACGAAATGTTATGATGTTATAGGAATGTGCGTACTAAAACACTATCAAAAACAAGCTTTAATCTAATCTGGAAGAACATTTTAACCTTTAATGTTTATAACTTTAATGATATAAATTTATTTTTCGAAAACTGTAATATAGGTTTTTATGGCTACTAAGTGAGAGTTTATGTTAGTTTTAAAGATAATTGTGTGTTATATGTCTAACAATAAGTCATATTCTATTGTATGTATCAATAGCTTCGTGTATATAATCTTTATCTTATTAGTTCTTTAACATTGCACATTTTTTACATAAGATAAGAACTTCGATAACTTTGTATATACGAATACATGAATTATAATAAAGAATTTAAGTATCTCATCAACTTTGAAAATGACATTGCATTTTAAGGCTATATGAGCGCTCCGCGTTGCTAACAAATCACAAACGTACGAGTTAACGTAGCTTGAGCTTGAAAAAATATTACAAAATGCAATTCTCATATATAACAATGGCTTTTGCCATGATCTTTGTTATGGCGATCATGTATACCGGAACAGAAGTAAGAGCAGAACCATTAGCCGACGCTTGGCCAGTGAGTGATGCAAATGCCGAAGCCATCGATATTGCTGGTATGGTAAGCATTAATCGTTACATTTTATTTAAGTTTATTCTGCAGTAAGTTATTTTTTAATATATGTATAAACGGAATAACATCTTTTTTAGATTGAACAAGCAAGAAAAGCGGTATTGTCTGCCATGGTAAGTATGCTAACATAAATGAGACTTTTCTCCGGCATATTAATATTAATGAAAACGTTTTATATTTAAGGGAAAAAAGTAGCTGCATCTTTCGTGAAATAAAATACAAGTGAACAGCTGTTAAACCTGAAGAAAGATTATGATAGAAATGACGAATTACAAGGGATATATATTATAAATATCATATATATATATCATTTTAAGCGAAAGTATAAATTATATTTATATGACTCTATTGTACTTGCTTGGTTCAAAATTATGGAGAAAAAATAAATAATAGGATTGCATCATTCGTATTGTGTTTCATTTAGAAGTTACATTTTATTCTTATTTCAGTTTATTGTTTCATATATAGAATGTGTATATTAAATTTTTTACTTATCAATATGCATGCAGTAGTAATAATATTTAAAATTTTATTAAAATATTAATGTATTTCATGTTTATATACTATTTTATTTAACTAAATCGGTGTGTGTGAAGCTGGGATCTCATTTCGTGGAAAATCATTCATTGTTGAGAGTTCTGACTTCCTTTCTAATAGTTCTAGAGTTCCTGATACGTTAAACACATAGTTCTGGCTTTTAAGACCAAAAAATTGAAAAGTGCAAACTGATTTGCTAACTTCACGCTGCAAATCACTTTGTCTCCGAATGATTTCCTAATTATTTCTGCTAGGATTTTTATCGCATGAGAGTTCTACAATAGTTCTAGAAAGAGTTCTGGCGAAAAAACATATTTTTTATAATTTATAAAAAATTTTTATCACTTTACAAATATATCATCATGGAGACAAAGGTGATTTGTCGTCCTAAATAAGAAAGTTCTGACTTTCTACAAATAGTTGTCGCATGTTCCGAACATATTTAAGCATTTTCTACAGGGTTCTATACAGTAGAACCGATAAATAATTTTTATAAAATTAATACTGTCCGAAAAATGTCTAAGACAGATAGAGATGATTTACTGTCCGAAAGGACGGAGTTCTGGCTTTATACAAACAGTTCTCGCGTAGTTCCGAACGTATTACAGTATATTTTAAACAGTTCTATGCAGTGGAAACAATAAATAATTTTTTTTAATTAATATTGTCCGAGAACTGTCTTTAAGGCAGATAAAGATGATTTGCTGTCCGAAAGGACAGAGTTCTGGCTTTATTAAAATAGTTCTCGCATAGTTCCGAACATATTTTAGTATTTTTTAAACAGTTCTATGCAGTGGAAGCAATAAATAATTTTTTAAATTAATACTGCTCGAAAACTGTCTTTAAGGCAGACCGACCTTAATAGTGTCAAGATCATGCAGCGAGCCTATGGCTGATGGCAGACAACTATCCGTAAGCGCTTAAGACTGACGTAGTCGTAGACTTAAGGTAAGGCAGAGAAAAACGTAAGCCGTAAGGAACACGTGTTTCACGGCTTACGTTTATATAAAAGGCAACACAAGCATCGGAAGCATAATCTGCGGTAAAGAAGTAGTTATTAGTCCGTAACGAAACGATATTTTACAATCTTTGTCATTTAATCTAATCTTTGAAACGAAATCGATAGATAATTAAAAGCGCGGTGCGTAAACGAGATGTAACCGCGACAAAATACCACGGTTTACATTTATAATTTAGATGAATTAGTCTCGTAAAATATCTATACGTTGATAAAGAGCCGTCGCCTCAACATGCAATTCGTTTTTCATTACAAGTTGTAGAAACTTAATAATTAATCGAGGAACGTTAATTGTTACTAATAAAGGTGTGCAAATTAATAGTGTTTTATCTCTGCATTTATCGTGATCGAGTCTTGGAAACCAATAACGCAAAAGTAATGCTACGCACGGAGCGACTCTCGCCACTGCTTGCCGGCACGACGTTCGGCGAGCGAGTGAGAGCGCGGCAACCTTCAGGTAAACTTTGGCCCGCGCAACGTCGTACGATACCGCGCCGAGTGAAAAACAACAAAAAAACGTTGAATATTAAGAATATTCTTAAAACGTTGAGAATTCGTTGTCCCGCCTACGAAATGGAAAATTCCGTACTTAATATTTTACATTACTTTGTTCCGTGACTGTTACTACCTTTTGTGTATCATTCTGCGGACTTATTGGTACCGATTAAATAAACGATTAATTCTGTTCAATCAAGAAAATGTATCGGAACAAAAATCGTTGTTACTTAAATTCTAACTACTAAGATTAAAGATTTTACCTTAATAGTTGGTACAAATGTATATTTCTAAATTGCAAATCTTCATTTACTATAGATTTAAAAGAAAAGTGAAGCACACCGCGCTTCGAGAAGACATATATTATGTATACATTATATTGTTATGTTGCTGTAATATTACATTGTAATATTTCTGGAGGCGGACATTTTACCGTTGCTGCAAGATTGCAGCAGCGTTGCAGCAACATTTCGCAGCGTTTAGGCAATGTTGCAATCTTGCGATAAATTATTGCTGCAATATTGCTGAAACCTTGCAGTGCTGTATGGGATATCATTCGAATATTCTGTACTCATACTGAATGTTCTGAAAAATGGGCGTAGAACGGACGCGCACCAAGTGGAGACTTTATCGGCAGTGCTTGAAAATGGGTGTAGCGGAATAGTTTCAAAAATGAAAATAGGCGTAAGACGCTGGAATCAGTCGAGCGAAAACGGTATCAAGTAAAACGCCGGCGTGGCCGCTCTCAGGTTTCTCTCTGGTAATACTTTCTTACCAAGTCTCGTCTGGGCCGTTGAGCGGTTCACACGTCTTCCGACGGAAGACAAAAATTTTTGATCCTGCGGGATTGCGTCATCCAATAGGGATTGCATCATCCCGCGCGAGGTTCGGTAGTTGGGCCTCTGCATTGTGTGACATCAAAAACGAGATTACACGATAAGATATTTACACTATCAAGTCAAGACTATTGGTTCGTCGTGGTCGTGTCGGCTCAATACAGGAGCCGGGTGCCATAACAAGATAAAGAAGAAGAAGATACTTTCTTACCGTTAATAAACAAGTAATTATGGTTCTGTTGCTAATTGTAAGTACCATAAATAAAAATGTATAATTATACGTATATGTATATGTATAAAGAATAAAATGTAATAATTTTTCAAACTTATTGATTATAATATTATAATAAATTCCGAATTCATCATTGAAGTGTTTCTGTTACT